AAAAAAATTTAATCATTTATATAAATAATAATTAATTTTTTTTCTTATATATAGTTTTTATTAAACATTTTAATTTAATAAAAAATGTTAATTATCATTTATATAATATATTAAATTTTTATTTAAATTTTATATTTAAAAAATTAAAAAAATTAAAAAATTAAAGTATATTTATTAAAAATAAATGGTGAGGATAAATAACCTCTCATATTCTTAAATCCCTTCTTACTCAAGTTAATTAAGATTTTAACTTGAGACTTACAAGTTAGTGTCTTGAATTATTAACCAATGGACTTGATTATTTTTAGTAATTCAAACTAACCATGATGATGAGAACTATAAATACAATGACATCATCAACTTATAGTTTTTAATCAATCAAAAGAAGAGTATCAAATAATTAAAGCGATGGAAAGAGAACTAACATAAAACTGGAAAATCCAAATATATGAGAATCTAAAACTTCATTGACCAACCCCATATTGCTATTGTTATTGCCTTATTGGTGCTGAGCCAACTGAGATTATGTGGTGATTATTTAATGCATGTATTATCTTTGTGATGTGGACTTTTGGAATGGCATATTTGGATTCTCATTTCTCATCATAGACAGGGTTGGTAAGATGGAAAGTCCTAGGTCCTCGTTTTTTGAATGCAATAAAAGTGGGCATATTAGCTTATATAGCGCCTACCTCCTCTCCTATTTGTAGCGACCGGCCAATTAAAGTTATGATTATAGTCTCCCAATATTTAAATTATTAAATTTTTATTTTAATTTAATTATTAAAAATAATTAATAATTAATAAATAATTAATATTTCTTATTTAATAAATTAAAAATAATTTATAAATAAATATTTTTAAATATTATAATTAATTATTTTAAAAAAATTATAAACTGAAATAATTGCAATTATAATATGTGGTGTTAACAAATTCATGGGGGGTAATAATCCTTCCGTCATTTAGCCATCACTTTGTAGTTTGCACTTGAGATAGAATCAATGCTTAGGGAATGTTTGTTTTGGGAAAAAGAGGAGATGGTAAAGAAAGTTTTTTGTTCAACCAAATTAAAATTTTAA